CTGGTCGCTTGGCGGGTGAAAGAATGGTAGGTCCTCGTAAATATATGCGACTTACTTCTCATTCAAGTGCAGGATCGAGCCTCTGCGCTATCATGTTGCTGTCGCCTCGGCCACCGACGGGGGTTATTACTCCACTCGCCGATATCCTCAAGCTGATATCTCCCAACTGCTTTTGAGCCCGGCATCCCATCTTCACCACACCGTGCATCACCTGTGCCTTGTCAATCCTAACGCCACGGATACCCGCTCTCTCCTCTCGAATTGTCCGAACGTCCAAGGCATCTGGGGAAGCGGCCCGGAGCTCAAGCAACTCTTGACAATCCAACCCCGACGCCTCACACGCTTGCACTTGGATCTGGAGCGTCTCTTTCGCCCTCCGACTCCCCCGGACTTCACTCATAGGGTGTTCTCCCACATCACGCATCTCGAAATCTTTGACCGCCCACGGACCATCGACTTGACCGTGTGGTCGGGGCTCGCCTCCCTCCCGCATCTCAGCCACCTCGCGTTCAATAGCGAGCAATTCATATCCATACTTCCGGACCTACTACGCGCGTGCCGCGCACTCCGTGTCCTCGCACTGGTTGTTACAGCCGAGCGCGTGGAAGTAGCTGTTCCGCCTGTCCTTGTGGAGGAGGTGCGGTTCGTCTGGATGGTATGTGCTGAATATGTCAAGGACTGGCATATTGGTGCATTCACTGGACGCGATTTCTGGGCAAGGGCGGAAAAGTTCATCGACATGCGCAGAACGGGGGAGGTCGATCGTACGTTGTCTGTGATCTAGCTCTGCGGCCACGACTGACTGCGGCTCTTTTCAGGTTTGGAATATCGTATAGAGCAGGATGAGAGTGCGAGTCTTCCGTGATGTAAAGCTTGTGGTTCGTTGGTATATCTCCCAGGCGGCTTGTGGCGTCGGAACTATCAAAACTGTGTCTCTCCTGCTTGAACGCGGTGCGGATGTCAAACTTGATGAGTGGATTTTGGTTCGGCTCTTCAGGCAGCTGTGACTATGTCATCGCGCCCCAAACCCCAGGCGCTGACTAGAATTCGACCCACGCCCCGCAAGACCAGATGTTCCACGCACAGAATTGTGCGAAGAGAAGCCATCCAACCGCAGGTCGTTGACGAGACCCCGAGCAACAGGGATGGTAGCCTTCATTCCGGGTGTTATGCTCATTCTTTGGCCTACCTGTCTGCAAATACATTGACTGCATTCTGGACCTCGGACCAAAAATTCTCCGCTCACATCTGTCGGTCACCTCGTCTGGTCTTACTCCTTGCATGCATTCTCGACCTACTCTACCTCCGCCTCTTCCGAATCCAAATCTATCAATACTATGCTCGTTCAGCCCACACCCTTCCCCGTGGAATTGAACTTGAGCTCACCTCCTCCCGGCTGATGCTCACGAAGCCGGCAACCATCGGCTCCACAATATTCGACGGTGCTGATTCCCCTTGTATGGAATCGAGTTCATTCAACACGTCTCCACCATGTCGCCGTCGTTCATTTCTGCGACACCGGAGAAACTACGAGGATGTCCAATGGGTTGCCTGTGGTTACATACCACTCTCTTACTGACCTAGCCCAACAGAGTGTGTTCGCATGGCAGAAATTCACGTTGATTGTCGGCGCCGGTGAGTCGTCGCTGTCAAAATTAAAGAGTCAAATTTGTCGAATCACAATGGTCAGATCTTCGTGGCCTACTTCAAACCGTCTGTATGTCAGCATGCTCACTCATCGCGAATGTAACGATCTTTACATGATAGGAACAGATCTATCGCCCACTCAGGAGGATAAATATTGCTGTTCGAGCAACTTCGAGGACGTTGAATATGCCTGGTTTCGAATAGTCAGCACGGTGACTCATTGTATCATGAAGCCAACCATTGGGGGTTTGGGTCGTGCTTTCATAGGTGTCGAAGAGGGACTGCATGGGGCGGTCTTGGTGCCTGTGCTTAAGTATACATTCCAGGATGATCACGATGTGCTGACGCCGAGATAGAGCTATGGTATGGAGGGTTCAAAGAAAACCCGACCTTTCGCGAAACACAAACGGGATTAGTCAAGGGCCGATGAGTGTTATCCCGATACGATGAGTTATTCAATCGCCCAGATTCCAACCATCTCGCTCCGAAAACATACGTTCACAGCGAGCACGGTGAGTAAGCTATGCACATACGAAACCAAATACAATTAACACATCGCTACTGGATAACCTACAGTAAATTTAATGCAACCCCCTCAACTTCTTGATCACCTCCTGCATATCCACCTGATTCCACTCCCCCGTCCATTCCCCCGCATCATCGACCGGCACAACGAATGCCTGGAATACCTTCGTTTTCGACCTCGACTTGGATTTTGAGTGGCCAGGTGGAGGCGCGGACAAAGGCCCGGGTTCCATCGGCCTGAGGACGTACGAAAATCGCTCCCGCCTCACACGTACAGTCCGTGTCGCAGTCCCCCGGCGCTGGAGCCCTGGGGCGTCTGAATCCGAGCGCGCTATCCCGATATCGCTATCACCAGCCTCGTGCTGCACTGCATCTTCGTCGTCAACGCCCCCGGCCACGGGCGAGGGCGGGGGATATTGAAAAACGATAGGCGTAGATGGCGGCGTGTCGGTAGGTAACGGACCAAGATCAGGGTGTGTATGAGGTGAGTCGAGGTATGGGTATCCAGTTAGACTTTCCTGAGAACGCGTAGCAGCCCGTTGCAACCGAGGAGTCCCAGCATCAAGGAACCGGGTATCCAAACGCAAATTCGGGCTCGGGCGCCCGGGACCAGACGCGCCCTCGCCCAGCATGCGTGCGAGCTTCGAGCTAGGGTTGCTGGGGGTATAAATACGAGTGGAATCATTCTCGTCATGCGGTCTCGGCAGCGGATCTATGTCCTCCTCAGGGTCATCAACGCCGTGATTCCGATTCCGAAACCCCGTCTTTTGATAGCGCCCTATAGCTCCAACAGCGTTAGGCTGCGCAAAGGCAATCTCACTAGCGGCACTCAAGCGAGAATCCGTGCGTGTGAGTGCCTGCGCAGCCATCGCCGCCAGATGTTCCGCATCAGCTGTCTGAAGTTTTCCCTTGCCCTTCCAGGGGGGGAAGCGGAGGAGCTCGATACTGGCACGACGGGAGGTGCCGCTGCCTGCAGCCGTGGTAGAGGATTTTCGAGCTCGTCGAGGAGTGCAGGATACAGCCATGTCGTCATCAGCGCCGAAGGTGACACGGGGTTGTGATCGCGATGGATGGGGAGTCGTTGAAAATACGGCGTCGATAGGGATAGGAATCAACGTCAAGTCGGGCGGAGATGCCTCGATGACTCGAGGTGGTAATGGGCGGGGAAACGGGGGCGGGGACTGAGGGAGCCGGAGGTTTAGTCGCATGCCTACGCGTCCGGCGAGTGATGCCCTCCGTCGGTGGTCCTTCTGAGTTGGCGATGAGACTCCCTCTTCATTGAATTTTAGTGGGAACGCGGGCGGGGATAGTACGATAACGCACCAGCGAGCCTGTTGAGCTGGAATATTTCAATCGGCGAGAGGTGGGCAATGTGTGGGAGGGGGTAGGTCGTTTCTGAGAGGTATGGTGTGTAGTCTGGCTGCGAGCTCTGCCCTGAAGAAGACTCCGCCGACGCGGAAGGGGACGAGCCTGACTGGGCGCCATGCGTGGTGACACTGGTGAGGGTCAGTGATGAAGTCGACATCCAGCCGCTACTGCTGTGAGGATGCAAGGCGTCGACAGTGTCGCCCGTGGCAGAGCGTCGAGTGGAGGGAAAAGAAGGTGCTTACGGGGCGCCGCACAGCCCGCATCCGGATTTAATTAGCAGATTGATCCGAGGAATCATTCATTGTGTCCGGACTCCGGACCTGGCCGGCCCACGGCAGATCCATTAAAGAAGACTCTGCGGCAATTGAACGCGGCAAGACACCGCTCAGCTTGACAACTCATTACTCCAGTCTCCGACGACAGGAAAGACTTGTAAAAAGGTATGATTCGAATCTCGATTCTGAGGCTTCTCCCAATGAAAACCCCGACATCTCTGATTGACGTTCCCGCTTGATAATGTTGGTTCAATCAGCGTAGGCCGCCGCGGAGGCTATTGAATGTCTGCAACTTTGGCTGAACGAGCCGAGCAATCATCCTCGCATCCGGTGCGGCCATTTCTGGGGATCCACCGCAATAACCCGTTTGTCCCAGAACCAAACTGTTGGTCTTTGCGGCAAACTGCAGTTCTGAACTCAAGGGACACTACTAGTACCACGCGATGCGTTAAATCGAGTGGCGCGATAAAATTATCAGCAGGCGGCTCACCTAGCTCATTGGGTTTGATTCTTGAAACAATTCAATGCGGAATCGGTTGAATGCGCCGCTGCAACGGTATTGGCAGCACGCCGTATATTTAGTAATTACTGCTGCTCCCAGGACAGACTCACACCACTGCTTGAAACAGTCTCAATTTAAAACGCGAAATTGTTGCATCCGAGTCCAGTCCAAGTAGGCTCACGTTGGTGATTGCTTTGGAATGCATGATCAGACTGAATATTGATCTAGCCAAGCTGTATCTTAATTCTATCCTGGTTAACCATATGACTTCCCTTGTACACCCGTATGTTGCCAAAGAAGAATTGTGCATACTTACTCGGGAGTCAGGACGAACGGGTCATACTTGATTCCGGGGTGATCGTCAGTTGATTGTCGGTTGATGATACGCATAATGTATCAGCCTCGTCCACATGGGACGGATCTGCAGGGCCCCCCAGCGGGCGAACGCGTCGTGGAACTCACTCAGAAGCGGGGGGAGCCATGTATGAACATCCCGAGTTCGTCTGATGCGTGCGTGATGCAGACTTCTTCACAGGTACATGGTGTAATTGGTTATTCACCGAATCAATCGGAAAATTTTTAACACAGGACCAAGGGGGCGCCCAGGAATTTGCTTGGATGCGAATGTTAAAAGCTAGGATACCCCACCCGGACATGGTTGAGAGAAATGACTCTGGCATGTCGGGCATTTAGTATAGCTGGTTATTGCGCCCGCTTAGCAACAACAGTCGTCTGCGGGAGGTCCGGCGTTCGAGTCGCCGATTATCCAAGCTTTTTGATACTGTAAGCATTCATGGAATTTCCGCTGCACAAGCTGCTTCAAATCACTGATGCCGCAGGCACGTGACTTGATCCCAATGCCCGACAATATCGCACCCCCAACACCCGACCTTAAGACAGAGGTGTTGGGTTCAATTCCCAATGTATCCAGACCCTTTTTGTCCGTCCCCACTCCCAGGTTTTTCCCTTTTTCACGCCTGTAGCCCGTAAACCGTACATCGCGCATTACTTCGGCTCAAACGATCCGCCTGGTCTCATTCTGACTTCCAGTGTCATCCCTGCTACCCTCCCTTGGTGTCAGAATCGTTTCGGAACGTATGAGCCCCGGAGGATGAAGCAATGGGCCCATCATCGTCGAGTGATGGGCCGCATAATGAAAATTTTGAACATCACAAAGTAAACAAACACCACTTGATGATGGGCTTGGTGTGGACGCATTCCAACTCAGCTCCTGTAAGATGCAGAGTCCAGACGACGCTCACGCAGCCAGAACCTTCCACCCTGGAGGCAAAGCCGCCAATCACCAGTACTGAACCTGCTGCGATCGTGTTGAATCAAGGCGGTATTAAATCATCAAAATCATGCTTGCATCTTGCCTCATAGAGCACGAGAAGAGTGGTACAACCTATTGTAGACACTCCCACTGGATAGGTACTCTCCCTCAAACTCACCAACTCCGTGCCGAAATCAGTGGTGTTTGCGTGAATACTCAAGCGCGCACAGGTACGCGCAGGCATAGAAAAGACTAGAAAGTATCTAATCAATTTCAAAGCAAGTCCATTTTTTTGGGTAACACTATCAGTGCGTGCAGAAACTAATTAACTAACTAAAGGGAGTCTCAATGCACCCTTCAAGCAGACCTGGAAGCCGTGGGTTCAGCGATTACAAAGCTCGAGCTTGCGCTGGGCTCCGACACGGGGAAAGTCGACGCGGTGACGACGGCCTGGGCCGGGAGGAATGCCAGGCAGGTCGTGAAGACGGCTATGGGGCTACCGACCGTAGAGCTGACGACGACAGGGGAGGAGCTTGCTGTGGCCTGCATCTGCTTGGATGTCTCAGTACTGCTGCAGAGAGTTAAGACAAGAAGGGGATGGACGCACGCTACTGGTGACGGTCGTCGGGTGTACGGTGCCGGATGCGGTGATCTGAAGGTGGATGTGAGACAGTACCGCTGCGAGGATAAGAAATAAATATGTACGGTGCTGATCACCGTGGTGGGATGTCCGGTGCCGATTATCTTTGTCCCTGTCTCAGAATCAAGAAGTACAGGAGGAGGGAGAGGACTCACGCTGGTAACCGTGGTGGGATGTCCGATGCCGATTATCTTTGACGCTGTCTCAGAATGAAGGAAGTACAAGAGGAGGGAGAAGACTCACGCTGGTAACCGTAGTGGGCTGCGCGATATCGACAGACTACGAAGAAGAGGTGTGACGTCGAGACATCAAGCAAGAAGAAAGAGGCACTCACAGTAACCGAAGTAACCGCCCGCTTGGCGACAGCGCCCGAGCCCTCAACAGCCGAGGTGACGACGACAGGCGTAGAAGTGGCCGTGGCAGGTGCCTCGAACGTGAGCGTAAGGCAGGTCGTGAAGATGCCCGTCACGACGAAGCCGCCCGTCGGGGTAGCGCTAGCGCTGGCGCTGACGGTCGTTGCGGGGAAACTGGTGGGGAAGGCCACGCTCCCGGACGCGCTGGGCTCTTCGGCTGCGCTGAAAGACGCGCTAGGTTCTGCGGCTTCGCTGAGAGAGGCAGAAGGGAAAGCCTCGGAGCTCGTCTGTACCCGATGGTCGTTAGATGAGTTGTGTGATGATGTTGAGAGTCGAGATTAGAACCTACCACAACAACGACTGGGTTGGCAGACACGAGGGCAGCAAATGCAAGAGCGGCAGCGACGAAGTACTTCATGTCGGCGGTCGTTAGAGAGGTTCAGCGATGAACGGCGGTGTAAAGGGAATTGAAGAAAAGGGAGCCGAGGGTTCCATCCTCGGCGGATGTTCTTTTATACGGCCCCACCCTGAAGGAGACAATCGGGTTGGCATCGTATCAGGTGTAAAAAATCTGTGAATAACAATCCTGGAGCACCAGCACATTCTGAACTGCGGATTGATGGGAGGCAGGTTAACGTCGACTCCGCAGTCGATGATGGACGGGCTCACCTGCTCGAAAGTCACGCAACGGGCTCAAGTCACCGCGCTCGGCAGCCAGTAGGAAGCATAGGAATCGGAGCCGCCTTTGTGAGACAAAAAAGTCTCGGGGGGCACGGCCTGAATTGCCGCCCAGGATCTCCGTCCGGACCTGAACAAGCGCCGTGGACTCGCATGTTAAAAGGAGTGCCGTTGAATAACCATGCAGTCCAGCAAATCGTGAAAAAAAGCCATCCCCGATTCGTAAATAAATATTGAGAGGGTACGAAGGGAATTTTCGTACGCACGTGTTTTCATTCAGGCAAGTGGAGCCGTCGCCGAAATGCTGGAGAGTGTGGATGCGATCCAGTAGCTGGAGGTTCTGTGGAAACTTCTGAGCGAGACGGAGTACTGAGATTTCGCCACTGAATCGGAAAGTGGGGTCCTCCATGCACCGTTGTCTGGCCTCCCACCAGTCACGGGTAGCAGTTAGCACAGACTTTACGGGACGAACTTACATATGGTGCACATCAACGTGAGCCTGCCAAGACATTTCGACTGCGGAATGCCATGCATCCATTCGTCGGCAGAGCGCGCGGCAGAGGGCGGCGGTGATTCGAGGGACAGAACGAAGATCGGGAGGTTCTTAACCGTGAGTTAACAGCGATCGAAAACTGAGGCCGCGCTGAATTGAGGGAAGTGGATACCAAGTGATGGCACAGACAACGCTCGCATGAGAACCAAGACAGATCCAAGCCAGCTCATCCCTTGCGCGCTTCCGAAATTAGGAGAGACAATTGTTTTCGATAGTCCCTGAGTCTGAACCTTTGGAAAGTTCTGCACAAGGATTTGATTGAAACATCGGAGGCCTTACTTCAAGGACGAGGTGGTATCTTGGTTGATGTATCTGGGGACCGACACTCCAGCTGGAGATTTCGTGGTTGCTACGGGGACAGGCTCAGCCAGCAGAGGAAACCGGACTCAGGAGAGTTCCAGTAACTCTTGACGAAAACCCCCGCCGCGGATGTGGAAGTCTGGAGATGACATGGCGGTTTGGAGACAGCGGGGACAGCCATTTGTTTGGTCCGGGTGATGTGTGTGACCCAAATCAAGAGGCCGGGATGCCGGTGATGGCATTTCCAATCACTGCCCCCACCCGAGTGATGCGCTGATGAAAAGAAGAAAAAAACATTCAGCGCGATCCCAGAACCATCACTCGCCGCTGATCACTCGAGTATGCATCGCATGCGCAGCATATTTGCCAACTCGATCAAATACCACTGTTCTAGTGCATCTCAGTGCAAAGCCCGCCTATAAACTCTTCTCCAACTATCCCTCTGAGCCCACGCCCTCCAATAACGCATCATCACCTCCGGCAAGTGTTGTTGCTCTTCCGTACCAAACACGTGCTCCAACGCCTCCACGGCATCACCACCATGCACATCTTGAGCTCCCGCGGCGAACGCGATCCTCGTCAACCACGCGATGAGGTGGAAATCGTCCTCTCCTGGCTGTGCGCCGCCGATGAACGGTCCATCAACAGCGGAGTCGGCGCGGTGCAGGAAGTCAGGGAAGATATTGAATAGGGCAGAATGAATGTTCTCCGCATGGACGCGGGATTGTTCGGCGAATGCAACGAGTGTAGAGGCAGGTGCAGTGCGGTCGAGGAGGGATTGAAACACAGGTCAGCGGAGGTTAGTGACTGCGCGAAATGAACCTACCCCCGTTCGAGGAAATGCGAGACTCGTAGAACGCCTTGTACGCTGCGGCCGCTGGATCCGAGAGGTACTGGCGATGTACAGCCCCGGTACATCAGCCGCGCTCTGAATGGGCCCGTCTCCTCGCTGACATTGATCAGCGGTGTTATACATGATACCATTCACAGTCTAACAACGCACGACAAAGCCCTCCGGAATGTCGACGAGAAGTCCCAAATTCGGCTCATACTTGTCATCGTGGATGGCCTCTATAATTCCAGGTGTCGCCGACTTTCGTTCGGCCGGGGGGTTCTGGACGAGATAAGAAATAACGTCGGCGCTGTTGGTGTAAACCCGCCCGGGTGCGACTAGAGTTGGGAGAGTCCCGTTGGGATTCTACCAAGGAGTGAGACACAGATGTCGGTACCAAGAATAAAAGGACGACGCACGAGTTTCAAAAACGCAGGATCAAAGTTCTCTCCTTTGAATAGGTCGACAATCTCCAGAGATATTTCGTCTTCCGGGTATCCGAGGTCCCAACTACACGGAGTTCAGCCCGAAGATTGGATGAAGGAGGGAGGGGTATACGTACCGTGCTATCTCAGCGGCTGAGGAATCATGATCAGCTTCTTTTCAACCCCAGCTTGGATTCAGACTCACCTGCAGACCAGACAGAATATCCGAAGGTGTAAAGCTTTTTGGACATCTTGAAAGGAAGGTATTCGATGAGGAAGTGAACTTGATGGGCGCCGCAGTATATATGAGACGACGGTCTACACGGGCTTGCGGTGTCGACGGGCTTCCAGATGACTCAGGTGCACAGAAAGCAGCCTCGGGTGGAGACGGGATCCCCGAGAGATGATCTCGGAAACATTGCCATGGGGAGATGTTGAGTCCGTCGAATCAAACGGGAGCTTCAGCGGTGGGAGACGCTTGACCTCGCAGAGGTGTCGGCTTTCTTCGGAATCGAAGTGGGAATCTGTGGGATACGACGTGGCCAAAAAAAAAAAATGGCACGTGCTGATGAGTCGCTACTCGGGCCGAACGAAACCCATTTCACGCCAGAGGGAGCATGGTACATTCCAGCCCGACCCAGTTCAAAACCTAGATCACTCGCTGGTCATTGTGGAGAGAAGTTATGTGCCTTTTTGAGGCTTTGCCTAGGATTGG